ATCCTACTGAAAGCCATTTGTTACCACAGGGGAAAAAAAGTCAGCAAATTAGACACTCATCTTTTTGTAAAAGAAAAATGCATAGTCTTTAAAATGAGCAAAAGATGAGAGGAATCTCACTGATTTCAAGACTTACACTATAGCTACAGTGCTATTGAGGATATGGTATTGGTGGAGGGTAACACATCGGTCAATAGAACAAACAGGAGAACCCAGAAATAATGCCTTACAAGTACAGCCAACTGATTTTTGACAAAGGTGCAAAAAAAAAAAAAAAATGCAATGAAGGAAACAGAATTTTTAACAGATTGTTGCGAAGTCACTGTATTTCCAAAAAAAACACCCAAAAGAACCTCAGTCTAAACCTCATACCTTACACAACAGTGGGCCAACTCAAAACAGATCACATATTCCAATGTAAAGCATAAAACTATAAAAGACACTGTAAGAGAAAATCTTCAGGACCTAGGGCTCAGTGAAGGGTTCTTAGACATCACCAAGAGCCCGATTCATAAAGGAACAAATGATAAATCGGACTTCATCAAAATTAAAAACTTTCGCTCCCCATTAAAGACTCTATTAAAACAGTGTGGCAAAGACAGCTACACATGGAGAAAAATACACCTGTCAACTACATATTCAATAAAGGACTGGGATCTAGAATATGTAAAGAACTCTCAGAATTCAATGGTTTTAAAAAATCTAATTAGGAAAAAAAGGAAAGAAATCTAATTAGGAAGTGGGCAAAAGACATGAGCAAGCATTTCACTAACGAGGTTACACACATCAAAAGATGTTCACCATCATTAGCCGTTTGAGTAAAGCAAATGAAGGCCATGATGAGAGATCACCTCATGCTTCTGAGCAGAGCTGAAATAAGAAATGGCAACAACACGAATGCTGGTGAGGATGTGGAAAACGGAATCACTTCTACACTACTGGGTGGAATGTAAAAAGGAACAGCCATTCTGGAAAACATTTTGGCTGGTTCTTAAAAAAGTCAGTAGGCACTACCATACAATCTAAGAACTGTGCGCTTGGGCATTTATCCCAGAGAAATGAAAACCTCTGTTCACAAAACACTGTACTTCTGTTCACAAAAACCTGTACACAAAGGTTTGTTAACAGTTTTATTTGTAATAGCCCCAAATGGGAAACAATCCAGATAGTCTCCAGTGAGTGAAGGGTTAAACAAACGGTGGTCCATCCATACCATGGAATACTACTCGGCGATTAAAATGAATGAAGTATTGATACATGCAACAACCTACATGGGTCTTCCAGGGAATGATGCTATGTGAAGACAGCCAATCCCAAAGGCAATATACTATATGATTCCATTTATATAACATGCTTGAATTGAGAAAATTACAGAAATAGAGAACAGATTAGTGGTTGTCAGGGGTGAAGGAAGGTATGAGGGGTGGGAAAGAAGAGGGTATGTCTATAAAAGTACAACGTGAGGAATCCTTGTTTTGCACCTTGACAGTATCAACGTGGATATCCGGGTTGGGATACTGTACTAGAATTTTGCAAGCTGTTACCATTGGGGTAACTGGTTAAAGGATACATGGGACCCCCTAGGCATTGATTTCATACAACTGCAATGTAAAGGGCGCCTGGGTGGCTCAGATGGCTAAGCGTCTGCTTTCAGACGCTTTCGGCTCAGGTCGTGATCCTGGGGTCCTGGGATCGAGTCCCGCATTGGGCTCCCTGCTCCTTGGGAGCCTGCTTCTCCCTCTGACCCTCTTTCCTCTCATGCTCTCTATCTCTCATTCTCTCTCTCTCTCTCTCTCTTTTCTCTCATAAAAAAAAAAATAAAAAAAATTTTTAAAAAAAAAAAAAACAACTGCAATGTAAAAAAGTTTAATTTTTTTTTTGAAAAAATGTTTCCAATAAATAAACGGATGGATGGGAATTCTAATATTTTCTCCCCAGGCCAAAGTGGATCATCTTAAGGAACACCCAATTTCAGAGATCACTGCATATGTTGCTAGTCTCTACTGAGCCTTTGGGCCCCTATAGCTCTTCTCTATGTTCTCTTCAAGCTGTCTTTCTTTTTTTTTTTTTTTTAAGATTTTATTTATTTGACAGACAGAGACACAGTGAGAGAGGGAACACAAGCAGGGGCAGTAGGAGAGGGAGAAGCAGGCTTCCCGCAGAGCAGGGAGCCCGATGTGGGGCTCGATCCCAGGACCCTGGGATCATGACCCGGACCGAAGGCAGACGCTTAACGACTGAGCCACCCAGGTGCCCCAACAAGCTGTCTTTCTTAAAAGCAAATCTGCTCATGTGACTTCCCAAGATCACTAGCCTGACACATTGGGCCTTCATAATCTGGCTGTTAAGTCTCTACCCAATATATATGCTATCTGCTTATCTTATCTCAAATATTTTAACTCTAATTACTTTTTAAAGTTTTTTGGGTTTTGGTTGTTGTTTTTTCTTTTTAGTAATCTCTACACCCAATGTGGGGCTCAAACTCATCATCCTAACATCAAAAGTGGCATGCCCTTCTGACTGAGCCAGCCAGGCACCCCTCTAACTTCTTTCTTTTTTTTTTTTTTTAAAGCTTTATTTATTTAAGGGCACTTGGGTGGCTCAGATGGTTGGGCGTCTGCCTTTGGCTCAGGTCATGATCCCAGGGTCCTGGGATCGAGTCCCGCATCGGGCTCTTTTGCTCAGCAGGGAGTCTGCTTCTCCCTCTCCCTCTGCCTCTCCCCCTGCTTGTTCTCTCTCTGTCTCTCTCGCAAGTGAATAAATAAAATAAAATCTTAAAAAAAAAAAGCTTTATTTATTTAAGTAATTTCTATACCCAGTGTAGGGCTTGAACTCATGACCCTGATCAAGAGTCGATGGAGCCAGCCAGCTGCCCCTAATTAACTTATTTCTAATGCTTATCAGGTTCCCTGCAGTAAATCTTGACTTAAATGTTTATTACTTTTGCTTTGTGCATTGCCTCCTTAAGAGTGCAGAGGCACTGATTCTGTGTTACCCTCAGAATACTAACCTGCAGTCACTCCTGCCAGGTACACCAGCCCTACTCGGAGGCCTTTGTGGACCATTTCCAAGGGAATACCCAAAACGAGCTGCATGATGAGATTCCCCACGAGGTGCTGAACTCTGCGGAGACAAACACAGTAGTCAAATATGACTAACCCACACAGTTATTTCTTTGGGACATGAACAGGCATTGGTGTATTGTTTCTAGTTCAAATTCCATTTTCTAATTTTTTTAGGTGACTTTTTTTTTTAAATAAAATCTCAACATGGAGCCTTAATATGTAAAACAGATAAAAGGACATTGTGGAAGTATATATTTATTTTATAAGTTCTGTTTTATAACAGTGACTAACAACATCGAACAGAGAGCGATGATGGCTCAAGGAACAAAACTTGAAATTGGGCTTAGATGACAATTGCCATTTTATGTCAGCCCCCTGCATCTGATTTTGTTTCGGTTGCACAGTATTGAGAAAATCCTAATGCACGCATAGTAGGCTCCATACCCAATGTGGCGCTGGAACTCTCAACCCCAAGATCAAGAGTCGCCTCCACTACCAACTGAGCCAGCCAGGCACCCCAAATTTCAATAGGTTTTTAAACAACGGGTCTTGCAATTTTAGGATATTCTTTAATAAAACAGAGATGGCAAGAGAAACCCCATCCCCCGTTCTACATTAAAAAGTTGAAGGGCGGGCGCCTGGGTGGCTCAGTTGGTTAAGCGACTGCCTTCGGCTCAGGTCATGATCCTGGAGTCCTGGGATCGAGTCCCGCATCAGGCTCCCTGCTCAGCAGGGAGTCTGCTTCTCCCTCTGACCCTCTTCACTCTCGTGCTCTCTGTCTCTCATTCTCTCTCTCTCTCAAATAAATAAATAAAATCTTTAAAAAAAAAAAAGTTGAAGGGCGCCTGGGTGGCTCAGTCAGTTAATCGTCTGCCTTTGGCTCAGGTCATGATCCCAGGGTTCTGGGATCAAGCCCTGAGTCAGGCTCCTTGCTCAGCGGGGAGCCTGCTTCTCCCTCTCCCTCTGCCTGCCACTCCCCCTGCTTGTGCTCGCTCGCTCTCTCTCAAATAAATAATTAAAATATTTTTTTAAAGTTGAAAAGACAATTTACCAGAATAAAAAAGAAAGTTTACCCAGTAACACTAGCTAAAGTTAATATCTCCCATGTACTACAGTTTGGCATATAACATATTTGAGTGCAGGTGGTTTTTATTCTAGTTTTTAAAGAGGTAAAAATATTTTTAAATAAAATTCATATTATTTTGCCTGTCAAACCCCACAGGCATCTCTGGAGAATCTTTGAATGTATTTTGGTACATGCCCATATTATAGTTATCCTTAATTTAGTTGCTACACTGCACAAGACTTTTTTATTTTAAGAGATTTCAGATTAAACCAAAAAGTTAAAAAATGAAATAGGTATTGGATCTTTCACAACATGTAGCAGCTTTCAGGATTGTGTTTTGCATTATAATTTACTTAACAAATACTCAGCAGAGGCTCTCTGGGCATAGCCTACAGAACAGATTACTTACCTTCATGACCACACGCACACCCAGCCACAACTATCACTGCCCAAGTCATCTTCAAAGACACACAAGAAGTAACATGTAATTCAGTGCAAACAGTCTAGCAAGGACAGTTGCGCTAGTCTTACGGGGACGTCAGACATAAAAAGAGTATTTGGAAATATGTGCCCTTTGTGAATTTGAACAAAGCCAAAGGAAGCCATCCCATCTTCTCCTTTGGGAACAGCTGGAGGACGAAGTGACCAGTAGGACAAAAAACCCCAAAGAATCGCCCTCAGCGTTCTTTCTGCTGTGCAAATAGCAAGAGCAGAAATGACATAAGGATGAGATCCTGTCATATACCCGGAATAGAAATACTAACTTTTTTCATCCAAATTTTATCTGCCCTTCCAGGTCCAGCTTGAATCCAGGTCATGTGGGAAACCATCCCCATTCTGATCTTTCCGTCTTTCTGTTTATATTACAGTAACTAATCCCACATCCATTTCCTTATCACTTGTCTGCGTCCTCCAGTGAGGCTGGAAGAGCTCATGTTGACTTTGCGAGGGGTAGCCGTGTCCATGGCTCTGGCCAATGGGAGACTGGCAAGAGAGCTGCTTTCCTGAAGAAAGGGATGGATGTCACCAGCACCTGGGCCTACCCTTCCCCTTCCTGCTTTTAACGCCCAGCTACAGCCACCAACTTGCAGCCACAAGACAAAGGTCAAGGGAAGAGCAGAGATGCCAGCACCGAACCAAGAGGCTTGGCTTCCTTAAACTGATGAACTAACCACATACCTCGGGGCTCCTTATTTGGTAAAGAATTAACCTCCAGGGCTCCTGGGTGGCTCAGTTGGTTAAGCGACTGCCTTCGGCTCAGGTCATGATCCTGGAATCCCGGGATCGAGTCCCGCATCGGGCTCCCTGCTCAGAGGGGAGTCTGTTTCTCCCTCTGACTCTCTTTCCTCTCGTGCTCTCTCTCTTTCTCTCTCTCAAATAAATAAATAAAATCTTTAAAAAAAAAAAAGAATTAACCTCCATTTGTTCAGGCCCCCATTTGATTTTTTGGCTACTTTCAGCCAGAAGCATTCTGAAATTCTACAACCCCATATGTGCCTGTCCTACACAGCCTTGAGAATTCTTTGTGAGGGCCTTACTATGTGTCCCGGTACTGCAAAAATTACATTATAACCACTGTCTCATTTAATCACAGCAACCTTATGAGGTAGGTACTATTACCCCATTTTATAGATGTGGAAACCAAGGCACAAAGAAGTAACTACTGTATGGCCTTGCCTTACTATTTAACTGACTGTTCAGCCTTATAATTTTAAAGTCCTTGAGTGCAGGAACCACATTTGTTCAGAGCATGTTAAATGAAAAACCAAACTGAAAGTATCCATAGAAACTGGGCAATGAGCAATTTTGTCCTTATTTGTCAAGCCTCTGAGCCCTGTGTCCTGCCACGGATGCCTAGTTAGCCACTGGCCAGAGCCATCCTTCAAGGTGCAGGGCTGGGTAGGTCACACAGATGAAGTTGGCCTCATCTGAAGCCCCCCCCAGGCTCCACTGGAGAACGGGGCCGCCAGCAAGGTGCTCAATGTCTGCAGTGGGCATAGTGAATCCTGGGTTGTGAGCAAGATCATTAAGGACTATTAGCATATAAGAAACTATAACTAAAAGGCAGGCACTGCATTGCCCGTTGCTTGTATTATTCCAGATGGACAACAGTAAAGCGCTCACGAATTAATTCTTTTTAAGTGTGTGGCAGGGGTAGGGAGGGAGGGACTGATTCATATCCTAAAGGGAACATTTTAACAACACAAACAACTCGGGGAACATACGTGTGGTTTAGTAATGATGGGGTCTCTTCTCTTAATATCCCTATATAAATACCAGTATCAGGCAGTTATAAGCAATATAAAGTACACTGGACTTGGAGTTAGCATGAATGTGTTGAGGTCCTAGTTCTGCAACTTAGCCAAGTGATATGGAGCGAGTAACCACATCCCCGAAACCTCAGACACAAAACAGCAGGGGTATTATGGACATGTAAGTGCCTTATCAATAATAAAGCACCGACCAAATGTTGGGGGTTATGAGTACTTGCAGTCACCTCCGACATCAGCGACTTAATATCTTTCCTTACCCAGCATGGACCAGCATATAGGAGATAAACCTCCAGGCTTGCTCCCGCTTCTCAGGACTGTAGATAAAGGGACTCTCCAGGATGCCTATGTCCAGGGTGATCCACTGTTTCTGAGGCTTCCACACAGCATAGTAAATAAACACCGCCAACTGCCAGGGAGGGGCAGACATGAACGTTAACCACCTTCTGCAAAGAGTGGCCCTATTAAAGCCTAAGGGCACTACTACCTTGCTTTCAAACGATTAGCTCTCAAGTGGGCCCCTCCATAGCATGTGCTCAGAAGATGACAGGAGTTAAATGTCCTTGCCGTTAAATGTCTGACCATACAACTGTGGTCATATCCCACTTCCTCAAGTGATGAGCAGCAGCCCTAGACCAAATATAAAGACGACTCCTTCTGAACCCCTCTACCCGCTTAAATACCCTCCGCCCTCCCCTTCCCATTCCCACCATTTTGTCTTTTACTTACAAGTTAATAAGAAATTACGTCTCTGCTGGCTTCCAAGGAATAGAATGGGGAAAGGGAACAATAATAGTACTACAGCACAGAAGCCCAGCAAACATGACCTTAACCAAGTGATGGAGGCTCATGTCACCAGGGATGTCATGTGGATGTCCTGTACTCCCTGATGTGACATGAGGAGAAAGGCACTTCGCCTCTGTGTGTTCCTCCCCAAAACCCGTAACTCTGATCTAATCATGAGAAAAACATCGACAAGCCCAGGTTGGGGGATCGTCTACAGAAATCTGGCCCATATGCCTCAAGACTACCAAAGTCATGAAGAACAAAGACAGACTGAGAAACTGTCACAGATGAGAGGACACTGGGGAGCCACAGCAACTAAATGGAATGTGATACTTGGGGTTGGAGGGGACAGAAGGGAAAGAAAGAGGACATTAATGGGAAAGCTGGTAGAAATACATATTAAAAACTCCAAATGAGGGCGCCTGGGTGGCTCAGTCGTTAAGCGTCTGCCTTCGGCTCAGGTCATGATCCCAGCATCGGGCTCCCTGCTCCGCGGGAAGCCTGCTTCTCCCTCTCCCACTCCCCCTGCTCGCGTTTCCTCTCTCACTGTCTCTCTCTCTCTGTCAAATAAATAAAATCTTTAAAAAAAATTTAGAAAACTCCAAATGAAGCCTGCAGTGTAGTTAATAGTAGTATACCAGTGTCAGTTTCTTTGTTTTGACAAATGTACTATGGAAATGTAAGGTATTAGTAATGGGAGAAATTAAGTGAGACATATACAGGAACTCTCTGTACTATCTTTGCAACTTTTCTATAAAGCTAAAATTAATCCAAAATAAAGTTTATTCCAAAAACTTTTATTTGAAAAACGGATCTTTCTGTGAGAGAACAGGTATCTCAGCACCCGCTCCACGACCCTTCTATAGAGAACTGCCTGCTCCACAGTACAGGCTACGGCGGTCATGTTTGGTATCATGTGACCTTACCCATTATTCCCCAATTCCCACACTCGCCAAGCACTCACACACCTGACTGGACCATGGGTAGGCCCGCCAACCCATAGACTGGAAGGGTAACATGACAGAGTGTGCCAGGAACGTTGATACATTAGCCTTTTCTTTATCTGAGCCATAAGAGGCTAGGTCCCTATGCTGGTTAATGTTATGTGTCAACTTGGCTATATGAATTTGCCAAGAATTTGATCAAACATCATTCTGGATGTTTCTGTGAAGATATTTTTTAGATGAGATCAAAGTTTAAGTCAACAGACTTTGAATAAAGCAGACTACCCTCCATAACATGGGGTCACATCATATCAGCTGAAAGCCTTAATAGAACAGACTGACCTCATCTGAGGGAAAGGGAATTCTGCTGGTATGACTGCCTCTGGACTCCCAACTGTAACACTTACACCCAGGTCTCCAGTCTGCTGGCCTACCCTAGATTGTGACCTGGCCAATTTTCCATAATGATATGAGCCAGTTCCTTAAAATCAATCTCTCTCAATATACATGTGTAGGTAGGTGGATGGATGGATGGATGGATGGATGGACGGATGGATGGCATGTGTAGGTAGGCAGATGGATGGGTGGATAGATATAGATAGATGATAGATAGATAGTAGATAGATAATGTGTGTTTGTGTATGTACACACCCCACTGGTTCTATTTTTCTTTTTCTTTTTTTAAGATTTTATTTATTTGACAGAGATAGCAAGAGAGGGAACACAAGCAGGGGGAATGGGAGAGGGAGAAGCAAGCTTCCTGCAGAACAGGGAGCCTGATGCGGGGCTCGATCCCAGGACCCTGGGACCATGACCTGAGCCGAAGGCAGACGCTTAACGACTGAGCCACCCAGGTGCCCCTGGTTCTATTTTTCTAAAGAACCCTAATACAGTCCTTGTTAAGAAAACTGAGACATCCGTGGGCATTAAGAGGATTACATTAGAGACTTCCTAATGTCCCTGAAGTCACACCCCACGCATACCTATCCCCTGCCAATTCTTTTATGAGACATCATGGCAGGTGCGATGAGGCTTAGGAGAAGCCCAGGCCTGGCCCAGTCGGTAAACGTGACCTTGGGCAAGTCATTCCACCTCTCTGGGCCTTGTACTCTTTTTCTGGAAAATAAAAGGGCTGACGAGATCAGAGTCTAAAAACACACTACGTGCTGCCCACAGTAGACATCAGTAGGGGATCCCATTTTTTTCCCTACTGAAATCTGAAGGGAGCCTATATAGCTCTTCTGGTTAGGCTTCTGTGTTGGCTCCACAAAAGGACCTTACCAATCAATCTAAGTCGGTTCATGAGATAAAACCAATTTGTGACCCCAAGATTATTTGGTTTCTAAAGCCCCAGCAACTAAAATTAAATGAAGCCACTGAAAACTGTAGTCACTGCTGGGCAGGCGACTTGCTTGAAAAATAAAACTCAAACTTGGCTGAAAGTGACTGTGACCATAGGAAAGACCTAACGGGGCTCCAGAGAGGGTGAGGTTGAGTTCTGTGTGTGCTGAACTTGCCACCACCAAGCTCTCTTCCTATATGTCATCCAGTCTCTTCTCCAGATGTGATCGAAGTCCCCTCGCTTTCCCCCCAGTCTTTCTGCAATTCCCCGTGGTACTTGCTCTAGTGCCCACCACCCAACATACTCACCTCGGCAAGGCTGATGGAGATGATGAACACAGGGGGTGGGAGGCAGTTAGCTCTCTCCAGGTATGTTCTTCGGACCTTTTCAGGAAGCATCCATTTTGAGACAACCCTGTGGACCTTTTTATTCTTGAGGGGATCTTTACCTCCCCTGTCCTCTCCCATTTCCTTCTCTTCTTCCAGCTCTCCTTTCATCTCTCTATCCATATTCAGATTCATATCCTCCATCTCCAAATCACGATCAGCAGCCATTGTCCTGGGTCCTCCCTCCACCTGAAAGGGCCATGAATGTCAAGGAAAAATAGATAACTCTATAGTCCTTGGGTCATGGCTCTTTCCTGGGCTCTCTGTATAACCATTGGTTTCCAAGGCCTTTCCTGTATATTAATAGAAGGCAATTGAAGATCTGGTACCCAAATACTCCTAATATCCATACTCTCATCATCTGTGTTCAATTGTGACAAAATGCTAGGGTCTCCCCAAATGAAGGAGAAGACCCCCAGGGATCACTTCTGGTTTCATCTATTGCTACCACCTAAAGGATGGACTAGAGCCTTGGAATAAGAAACTGCCTTGTATACCCTTTCCTTCCCCTCTGCCACTAACTGTCAAGTCAACCATCAATGTAAGAGATGCCTTTGT